GTTGTAAAGCGTACCTAGATGGTCAGAAAAGCCACACAGCTGTGGTTCTGATGTACCAGAAATGACTTTGAAGGAGAAGTGGTTTTGCTTGGCCAGCTGGGATGTTAAGCATAGAGCCCTTTGTGTAATCAACACGTTTTTGTTTCTTTAGCCCCATTATCACACGTCCCTTTGCCAATTCTCTGTCTTTTATCTCTAACCTGGTTCCCTGCCTCCTGTTTCTGCTCTCTCTCCACACAGAAGAGGCTCCACAGCCAGCGCGCAGAGTTTTCTCTTCTCCTCTGTTTGGAATTCACCTCTGCTTGTTCCTGTGCAGCTCACACGCTCACCTCTTTCAAACGCACAGATGTGAATAAAAGAGAAATTATCCACCCTTGATGTCGTAATTTGATAGGTGCGCATGATCTATGTCCCTAAATTCTTGCTGTGTAGTAGAAAAGAAAAACGCACTACCTGTCATCTTGCCGTAGAGAGTAATGTTCATCTGCATTTTCATAATGATCTCACCTCTCATGTTTACCTAGCGAGACACCTCACTTTATAGGAACCAAGCAGAAAAAATAGATATCTGACTTACGTGACATGTTACAGAAGCTGCAAGGGCCACATAAAATAGAACAAAATAGATTTGTACTGTGGGTAGACTAGAAATTTAGGTAGACGATACCTGTCAGATTAGAGTCCTGACTTGCGTGACTCTACTAATAAGAAGACAAATGTGCTTCACTCATCGCAAAACCTACAAATGCCAAAGCTCTGCAATCAAAAACAGAATCAGGAGTCACTTGAGCAGTATACTGGTCCCTGTGTTGTGCTCATTAAGCACAAGGAATTGTTTTCGAATGTGTAACGAGAGCTCAGTGGTGTTCGCACAGAGGGGTCCAGGCCATAAGGCAAACCCAGGTGACATCCTCCCATCGCTACATTAATAATACAGGAGGGAAGCCGGCTGCCACATGCCAAGGCTTAAGCTTAGCAATTTAGAATCTCCCAGCACAATGGTAAGAACAGGCGCCAAACCTCAGTGAGAGGTCTCTGTGAAAGATCCACAGACTTCAGCTGGAAGACCTTCTCTGAATTTTGCTGTCAAAATAGTTAAAGGGCAAGTGTACAATAATGCATGTTACAGACAGGCCTGTGGGTATCAGCTTGGGCATGTTTGCATGTGGCCTAATGTGGATGCAACAGGGATTTTATTTTAGTGACAATTAGGAAATGTTCTCATAACTTGCAAAGATGTACATTACTTTTTTTTTCCTTAACGCTCGTTTGTTCCCAACGTACGTTTCAGTCTACATTCCAGACATCACAACCTCAAGCCTGGGTCCTCTTCACTACCGAATTGTGACTGGGATTTCTCACGAGCCCATCCTTCCATTCTCAGAAACCTCTTTATCACTGGGCAGGAGCCTAACCTGACAGGCACGCGGCACGAGGCAGGACTAGACTCTGGATGGGACACTGGTCCATCACAGGGCACGTGCACAAGTGAGGAAAATTTAAAGATGCTGATTATTCAGGCTGTGGGAGGAAACAGGATTTCTCTCTGAGGAAATGGAGAGAGGTGCAGACAAGGGGGAATTGTGCAAACTCCGTACTGAAGGCA